ATGGTTCGATTGACAGAGGAGTGGGGAACGGTCAGACGTAGGGGAAAGGTTCAGGCTGAACCGTTCAGCACAGCGCAGCGTCAGTCACCGGGTGGGGAAGAGAGTCCGGGAGGGGACACTTCCCCTCGAGTGAAATAGAAAAAGGCAGAATCCTTCGAAGTTTATATTAATGATATTTGCGGCAAGAAAATGTTTTGAAACCCCAGTATTACTTAATTAACTGTAAGTGCTGTTGCTACTGCAAAGTGATTAGCATAATAGTGAATCCAACCAGCTCCTTAAATACGAACATTTCATACTTGAGTGCTTGATCATCACCAATATCAGTGTCTGTTTCCCTAAGTTTTTCCCACAATGATTTCTACATTATTCTCCCTTTGTATTAGAGAATTTAGTTATTTCTTCGTTTCTTCTGAATCGGAATAATTTTGGAAGCCTGTGTTAAATCGTGATTTTTCTCTTGTGGTTTTGAAATTTTGTACCTAGGAAGTTTTGATCATCTAAAAGTGATGTGTCACCATCGTCAAGATTTTAACTGCGCACAGATTGGGACCCCCGGATCAAATCTCATTTCATTTGAATTTTATATTCTGCTATGCTACAACTAGATGCAACACTGATGAGTGGTGACCTAAACAATGCTTGACTTTTGTCTCAACATATGATGCCTTCGCTCTAAACTTCCTTGGACTGAGCGTCAAAGAATGACCACAGTGTGCGAGTCTGCGGATGTCTCAGTAAGTATACTGAGCTGTGACGCAGAGCATGATTGAATCTGCTGAGACACTATGTACCCCATTCAGTAATACTGATAGTTACCAAGGTTTTGTTTCAATTGCTTCCGATGAATGCCATGTTAAAGAGCCTGTCAATAAAATTTCTTGAAACCGGGTAACCTTGCAGGTCAATCTGCTGTTATCATAAAATGCACAACCTTGGTTCTCAAGAAATATTCAGTAGCTCAGCTTCTTTGTCAATGACTTTTAGGGCTCCTCTCAACAGTTGATTTCTCATCGGGAGTTGCTGGGGTCTTGAACATTGTGAACTAAGTAAGTAACGACAAACCACTAAGAAAGCTGTCAGGACTACTCAACTATTAAGAAAAATGAGACCTACTTACTAACACTTAAATGGACAGACGATTCATGCAGGATCATCTGTTTCGACTGCCTTTAATCAGCTGGTGAGATCAAACATCAGATCTCTAGGGCTTAAGTAGTGAGATATCATGTGAGAATATGTACATGTATGGTGTCCAAATAACGCGGAAAGTGCACTTACAAATAAATTCAAGAAATCAAAGCACTCTAGAATAGCAACACTGCTTGGGTAAACTGTAACACATGAAAGGACAAGACTTGAAACAAATCCCACAGAATGGAATCGAAAAACTCAAAGGACTGAATTGCCAGCTATTGAATATCCACTACCATAATGAAGCCATGAGAAACACTTAAGAGTGTAGAAAACAGACTGCCTTCCTTAATGAAGTGAGAGGGGGCTCACCAAGACAAAAAGAAATTCATGAATAATTAAAAATGATTGGACAAACTTTAGATACAGATTATATCTTCTAATGTTGCCCAGTAGTTCGGTGAACAGAATTTGAGAAAAATCCATCATCAAACCCATCGTTGGAAATTTACGAAAGTATATGAATTATCCTATTTCAACTAGAGTAGGTATACAAATTATCTGGTATGCGAATTATCTGCCCCCCTAGGGGCGGAGGGGCTGGGATTTGTTTATATTGGGCCAACTTTGGGGCTCAATAATAGCCGACCAATCAGAGGGGCACACTATTTCTGCAGTAAAACGATTGAGATGGCAATACTCTCCCTTATACAGGTGCTCTAGTCCGCTACATAGAGAAAAGTAAGGAGGTGTTTGCATTTCAGGCATCTTGGAATTTTTTGGATGACGTAGGTCGGCACATCAACTTTTATCATCGATTTTCTTTGAAATGGTGTAATTTATGGAAAAAAGTCATTCTGTAAGAAAGGCTTGATATTATATCATGAGATAATTCAAGCAAAAAAAAAAATGGGACATTATGGTCCGTTTTTCATACTTTGAATCCCGAATTCCGCTGGCCAGGTTGTACCGCCCTACATCACAGGGTAAACAAACCTCAAGATGCAAACACCTCCTTTTTTTCTCTCTATGAGTCCACTAGCTGTCCCACAAACTAAGAGCAACTTCAGCTCAGGAGATATTCTTGCCAATGATACGAAAAATGTGATTTACCATGTTTTCCTCTAGTTACACCCAACAACTTCACGAGGTGAGGATGATCCAGTGTTTTTAGGAACTGAGCTCGGCCAAGGATTGAGATTGAGTTTGGGGTTAAAGGAAGTCCATTGCTACCACAAGAATCACCGCTGTGACAGCGAGCAACGAATGTCATAGCTCCAAATATGCATTTTGGTGCAACCTCTTTCGACAACATATCTGTAAAGAAGAAGCAACCAATTATTAGCTGTTAAATATACTCAACTTGACTTGACTCCCAATTATGCAGATTAACTGAAACCGGACTGATCGGAACAAACGAAAGATGCAATAATTGGTTCAGAAGACAACGCTCATCAAAACAATTGTTAAACCTCTGCTGTTAATTTCTACTTCAAAAGAGGGTCCCCTGCATGTCCATGGTCGTAGTAGAAAAAAATAAGTACCTCTATTGTAACATTTAAAATCTCTCAGGTTTCATTTTTCAATAGAAAACTAACTAAGCTACCTACCTTTAGAATTTCCTTGATTGTTTAAATGAGCAAAGAAAATTCACATCATTCAAAAACTACCTTTTAATTTTGCTATGTGGTTATCTATTCAAAAATTTTAAAAGGAAAAATCAGAGATTTACAATGTTAAATTCTGCAACGATTCTCAGCAACCATCGGACCAATTTTGAATTTGTAGTTATGGACAGGGACGAGTTCTATAGGACGCCGTCAGGGACGAGTTCTATAGGACGCCGTTCTGTTGTGAGCGGGTGATTGCAGCGCATTCTCGCGTAGGATCCTAGTCAACTCAGAGGATCCTTCCCCCCGAACCTCGACTCATCCATCGCCCGCTCCAAAAGTGAGGTTAAGCCGGAGATTGAAAAATAACACATAAGGCGGCTGAATTCTTGAAAAATAAGTATATTTTTGGCGTTTTTCGACCCCTTTCGACTAGGAAGGGCCCGCCGCATGTATTGTTACGGTGAAAAATTCGATTTTTTGCAGTTATACGCGATCCTACGGATTTTAATGAAGTCCAACAACTGATAACAGCAGTGAGTTGCGAGGATCCTACGCGAGAATGCAGCACTAGTACCTGCTCACGAATTTTTACATTGACTCTTACGGGAGTCCAGGGTCCTATAGAACTGGTCCCTGCCTCTGATTGGCTCTCCAGCGGCCCCTTAACGTCAGCCATTTTGGATGTTTTGATTATTTTGATTTATTATGTTCGGTTTATCGTTTGTCAAAATTTTGTGGGATTTTTTGCACAATTTTGGTTATACGATATTAATTTTAGCGTTTAAACGCACAAACGTTTGAATGTTAATTTGATTGTAATTTAATTAAAAAACGGGCCCCTTAATCTACGTCACGAGGTCATGTGACACGTACTGAGGCTCATGGGAAATTTTCAAGTTTTCCATACCTGTGTAAATCTACCTTGAACAATTCGAGTAGATTTAATACACATCTCGATGAAAATAACTCGGATTTGCTTAATTTCTATGGCGGGCCGTTAGGTCCAAAATTCCCGAATATATTAATTTTTGTGAGAATATATTTTTTTTCCGAATATATATTTTTTTCCCGATATATATGTATTTTTTTGAAAATATATATTTTTTTCCTTGAGAAT